CACTCTCACTGGATTACTTATCCCACCTTGCAGAGGTGCGTAGAAGGTACCCCAGCAGTGTTTGCTGAAGTAATTACTTACCTATGTCAATAACAAATGAATCATTAACAAACACAAGTTTGGGCTCATATCTTTACTACAAGATCCACGAAAACAGGGATATTGTTTATCATTTGTTTGTTTATCATCAGACCTCCTAACAGCATGTAAACTCCGGGAGGTGCAAGTGAAGGGAAGGGAAGGGAAGAAACTTGTCTATCCTGTTCATCTCTGAACCTCTACTTAGAACAAGACTGATTCTTCATGTATTGGCTGAAATGAAGAAAGGAAAGATGGAAGGAAGAGTCAAGGGATGGAGGGATGACGGCAAGGGAAGGGAAGGAAGAGTGAATCTTATTTAGCAGAGGTTTCTCTACTGAAGGTGCTCTGGGCCTAGAGCCACACATAATGCAACTCTAAGATATAAGTGTGCAATTGGAGATGTTGATAGAGGAGATATCGTCTTGCAGATCTCATTTTTAGAGTCAGTTGCCCACAGGACTTCCATGGTGATCCAGTGGCTAAGATTCTGCACTCCCAATGCAGGGGGCTCAGGTTTGATCCCTGGTCAGGGAACTAGATCCCACTTGCTGCAACTGAGAGTTCATATGCCACAACTAAAGATCACGCATGTGGCAATGAAGATCAAAGATCCTGTGTGCTGCCACCAAATAAATTAATTAATTAAAAAAATAGCCGCACAGGGCTCCGATTTACACTTAGAGCGCTTCAGTGCTGTGCCAAGTGTGAAGCTCATGTCCAGGGACTTCACTGCCCGAGGCAGCTCCATTAACCTGTGCTCTAGCGAGTCTGTCACCTGCAACCAGTCAGACCAGTGGATGGACCATTCACAGGGATCAGTAAATGCTGTTCAGAGAGAGGAAGGACAGCAGTGAGCAAGAGGGACAGAGTTCCTGCCCTCCTAAGGCTTGTGTTCTGGAGTGGAGAGGCATACAGTGAAGAAGGAAACAGAACCATTTTAGATGGGGGTAAGTTCTGCAGAGAAAGTGAAATCAGACAGGTAGTTACAATAAGGTAAGTGTTAGGACTGGGAAGTGCGAGGCCCTGTGCAGACTGCAGCGGTGGAGGCAGAGCACGCCAGATGATCTCAGAGGGATCCGCCCTGCCCGTCCTCTTCTGTGCTGCTCCTTCCTACATTCCAGGGGCTTCAGCCGCCATCCGGGTTTACTCAGCANGATAGTGAAGGACAGAGAAGCCTGACGTGCTGCAGTCCATGCGATCACAAAGATTTGGACGTGACTTAGTGACTAAACAGCAACAACAAGTCCTGTATGTTCAGATCCCTTCCAGGATGGGGTTAGCATGACCCTCCTGATCTGATTCCCCACCTATCTCCCAAAGAAATCACCTGTTTTTCCTTCCTTCCATTCTATGTGCAGCCATGTCAGGTTCCAACCCCCAAATATACCACACACTCTCCTCAATATATATACTCTCCTCAATATATAACACCCTCAATCCCCCTGCCTGGTGAATCCAGTTCCCGACTTAGTCATCACTTCCTGGAGGAGCTTGCCTTGACACCTGCCTCTCAGGCTGAGCTTCACTCCCCACTCCTGGTTCCCACAGTACCCACACTCTCTCCACTGCCCCATCGCCCATGCATTTATTTTGGAGGATAGGAGCTGCATCACTCATTGTATTCACAGTGCCTGTCAAGGGCAAGGGAGCTCTACACTGCACCTGCATTGTCCTCCTCACTAAAAGTGGGGGCAACAATAATACTTACATGTTAGCTGTACTGTGAGGGTTAAACGAGATAATGAGTAGAAAATACCTATCACAGTTAATACATAAAGAGTAAAGGATAGCTACTATTACTAGATGATGTTGCTCACACAGAATTTAAACAAGCATTGACATTTGAAATGCATCCAGGAAAATGCATAAAATCACATGTGTACAGAGCTTAATGAATTTTCACAAATGAATGCACTCTTGTCATCAGCCCCCAGATAGCACTATTTTATTTTTTATTGAATCATACTTGATTACAATGATATGACAGTTTCAGGTGTACTGCAAAGTGATTCAGTATTTGATGTTGTTCAGTCGCTCAGTCGTGTCCAACTCTTTGAGACCCCCATGGACCACAGCACGCCAGGCTTCCCTGTCCATCACCATCTCCTGGAGTTGGCTCAAACCCATGTCCATTGAGTTGGTGATGCTATCCAATCATTTCATCCTCTGTCATCCCCTTCTTCTCCTGCCTTCAATCTTTCCCAGAATCGGGGTCTTTTCCAATGAGTTAGCTCTTCGAATCAGGTGGCCAAAGTACTGGAGCTTCAACTTCAACATCAGTCCTTCCAACAAACATTCAGGGTTGATTTCCTTTAGGATTGACTTGCTTGATCTCCTTGTTGTTCAAAGGACTCTCAAGATTCTACTTTGTATATACTAGTGTGTATCTGTTTATCACAAAGCAAGCTCCTAATATCCCTCACCCCCTTCCCCTTTTAGTAACCATAAGTTGGTTTTTTGTGAGTCTGTTTCTGTTTCTGATTGGTAAGTTCATTTGTATCTCTTTTTTAGATTCTGCATATAAGTGATATCATATAATATTTGTCTTTGTCTGACTTACTTCATTTAGTATGATGATTTCTAGGTCCATCCACGTTTCTGCAAATAGGCATTATTTCATTATTTGTTATGGCTAGTACTTCACTGTGTATATGTGCCACATTTTTTTATCCATTCATCTGTTGATGGACATACATGTTGCTTCCACCTCTTGATTATTGTAAATAGTGCTGCTATGAACATTGGGGTGCATGTGTCTTTTCAAATTAGAGTTTCCATCTTTTCAGTATATATGCCCAGGAGTAGGATTACTGGATCATATGTAATTCTATTTTTAGTTTTTTAAGGAACCTCCATAGACACTACACCAATGTACATGACCACCAACAGCAGACAGCACTTTAAGGTTCAAAGGTTACCTTCTCAGAGAGGCCCTCCCTTATGTCTCACCCCCTAAACAGAACTCATCATCAGACATCCTAAAGAATTTAGCTATATATTTTATACATTATCTATCTCACCTGACTCCAACATAAACTGCAGGAGAATAGGATTTTGAGGCGGGGGATCTATTTTGTTCACTGCTGTATCCTCAGCTCCTAGAACAGCGTGAGACACAGTAGGTGCACATTCAGAGTAAATGCATAAATGCCTATATTCATTTAAGATCCCTGGTGCACTGTCATATCTGAGAAACACTGCCCTCCCAGGTTAGACAGCGCAGGGCAGGGACTGGCTGCTCCTAAACTTCGCAGGGCACACACCCCATCCTGCGTGGTCCACCTATGAGTTCTTTATCCTTACTACTCCCTGGCAAGCCTGGTCCACCCTGCCCCAGTTTTGCGTGCCTAATAATTAAAATAAGAATACTGTCTACAGCCATCAAAATAATCTGGTTCGCCGTCTAGAGACTACCGGCCTGGCATCCCTCAAGGGTTTTCCCCGGACCTGAAGCACTCTGGGCGGTGGTGGTTCTGCCACCTCCGCAATGCACCTGGTCAGTCTCCCAGCCAAGTGTTCTGCCTTCCGATGGGTCGCTCAGCTGGCTGATGGAGAGTTTTATCATTCACCCCATTTCGTCGGGGGAGAAGCTGAAGCTGAGAAAGGACGCGGCCACTGGGATCTTCTGACTCCGAATCCCGCGGTCTTTGCCACCACGCCCACCCCGACCACGTGCGGTGATTCACCACCGTCGCCTTTGGTTGGTTTCATACCCCTTTCCCCTTCACCAACCATCGCGGCCGGAAAGAATGTGCAGGTGCGGCTCTGGGCTCAGAGCAAATGGCTGAGAGCAGAGTTGCTGCAGAAACAAACGCGTAAGGAACCAGGCGCTGCAAGAGCAAGAGGGGCCCCTCACACAGGGTGGTCAGGCACACTCCGAGGGCGCGAGGCTTGGCTGAGACCGGGGTGGTGGGAAGGAGCTGGTCCCGCGGGGTACGTGTTGGGGACGGGTAGATGGTGAGGAGGGATCCACGCGGAAAGAACTGCAGGTACTCAGCCCCTTTTATAGCCACTATCTTGTTTGCTCTTACCGTACACTCTGAGGGAGGACATTTCGGCCCCATTTTACAGACGAGGAAACAGAGGCCCATAAAGATGAAGATGAAGACTTTTACCGAGTTGGGATTCGAACCCGGCTCTCTGAAATACACTAAGCTGAGGCTCTGTCCAGCCCGCATTCCCCGCCCCCTCCTTCTTCCCGCACCGTGGCCTCAACTGGCACGTGCTGGCCCCTGGCGCTCCCCACCTCCCCGCACCGTCCCACTTAGCCCCGCTCGGGGAGGGCAGACTGGGGGTGGAGGCTCTCTCTGGGACCGCGGGAGCCGCAAGGGGCATGGGGTCCCGGGTTAGAAACCCCTTGAGCCGGCGTGAGGGACCCCGCCAGCGCGCCCCGCCCCGCCCCTTGGGCGGCCGGCCGGCGCTGCCTCTGTCCATGGTCAGAGCACCCGGGTAATCCGCCTTTCTCTCCGCCCGCCGAGCCCCATTCATATTCTAATCACAGCGCGGCCGGCCCGCGAACGCCCGGCCACTCTACCGGGGCCAGCGCAGACGCAGCCTGCCCCCCGCCCCACTTCCACTTCCAGCCCCCCACCCCCAGCTCCTCGCCAGCCCCCCTTTTCTGCACTTTACACCCGGCAGATCCCCCCCCCACCCCCTTCTCATGCCTGCGCCGTGCCGGGCCGGATCGGGGGAGGGGTAGGCAGAGGGGGAGGGGGCCACATCTAAGCCAATTTTGATTTCGCCTGTAATGAGTGCCGGGCGAAGGCTGGAGAAGGCCTCTGGAACTTTAAATAAGAAAAACGTTGCTAATGCTATAATAGAAGGGGGAAGTCGGAGGGCTGGGATTGCGTCGCTCTGAGCCCCCCTTTTCGGAGGCGGCTTTTCTTATTCAAAACAGGCCCACAATGGGCTTCACAGTGCGCCTCGCCACGGCCCCATCTGACGAGCGGCCATTCATCAGGCCGGCTGGCCTATCAATGACATTGCTCCCATCGGGGCTCCTATAAAATGATGCTTTTTCCCATGAAACATCCGCAAACATTTTGACGGGTTTGGCTTTGCCCGGCTGGATTACTGAGTGTCCCCTCTCTGGCTCGCTCTTTCTCGCTCCCCCTTCTCCGAGCTCTTTCCCTTCTCTCTCTCTCTCTCTCCTTTCTTCTCTCCTTCTGCCTTTCCCTTTCCTTCTTTCTATCCTTTCGTCCCTGCACTCTCTGCGTCTTCCCTTCCCTCCTTCCTCCTTTCCTCCCTGGGCAGCTCTAGCACAGGGGATCCCCAAACATCAGGATTTTTGGGGGGCGCCTGTGCTGTCCATGGGAAGAGCATGCATTGTGGGTTACTGGAGGAACCCGACATGGATTCCACAGGTTAGTCCTACTGGTGGGGGTTGGGGGTAGACATTGGGAGGGAAAGAAGAGGTAGAAGGGGAACTTCAGAAAGAGTCGCAAAAAGTTCAGAAGGGTCAACTTGACAGTGGAACCCCAGGAAGTAATGGAGCGTGCAGAAGTTCTCAATCCCGTGCGATGCGCGATGTGTGTAACCGGATGCGTGGAAGTGTGTGAGTGTGTGTAAACGTGTGATTGTGTGTGTGTGTAAATGTGTGTGCGCGCGCTGTGAAGTGCGCTTTCGCTTGCCCTGGACATAAAGTTACGTAAAGATTCCCTGGCTCGCGGCGAGCTCGAGGTGCCTCTTGCAGAAACTTTGCGAGCCGACCGCCCCCTCCCTGGTCCAGCTCCTCCCCCGGTTTGGGGGTCCCGGAATAGCGGTGCGTTCCGGGGCTGGTGGCTGGGGCCAGGAAGCCGAGCGGAACGCCCCAGAGGCGGGGGAGGGCGACGGCTCTGCACAGCGCCTGGGAGGTGGGGACAGAGGCTCCAACTGGTGGAGATGCGCAGCTGGAGGGAGTGGCAGAGGCGAGCCCGGTGGTCCTGTGGAATCCGCGCCCGGTCGGGAGGAGGGAGCCCCGGGCAGTCCGAAGCGCGGTGCAGCCTCCTTGGCCGGAAGGAGTACCTGACGATGCGTTCAGCTTGGGGACAGTAACTCTACGGAAGAGAACAGGATGCTGCGCGGCTGGCAAGGCCTGGCGTCTGGGTCTGCAAACTGCTCGGCACTTTGGGGTCTGTTGGCTGGAGGCGCCAGGTTTGGGGGTCGCGGCCGTCCGTAACCACGGAGAAAGTAAGCCAAGGCATCTTTTACAACGAAAAAGCCCAGCGTCTCGGTTCTTTTTCCAGTAGAGCCTCGCAGCTCTAGTACGTTTGAGGAGCCGCCAAACTTCTAGATCAGAGTTGTGCTCCCTACGCCCCTTCCAGGTGGAAGAAATTCTCCGGAAATTCACCTCCTCCCTCAGTCGCAAAGAGTCAGGCATGACTTAGAGACTGAACAAGGACAACCCTCAGTTGCAGTCTTTCAACCAGTGCACTCCTATCCCGGCCAGGTTGCAGCCTCGGAGTTTCTTGGAGAGGCAGAAACAGCAGTGAGAGCAGCCTGGGCCGAGATAGCAGCTAGACGCGATGCTTGGGAGAACGCCTACGAGCATCCGCTGCTGGACTTCGCCGCGCGGAGCAACAAGTGCCTTCCAGCCGCTGCCATCCTTAACACACGCGCCTCTTCCCTGAGCAAATAAACAAACAACACTCGACGGCTTCCCCACCTCCACCTGCAGGCTGGAAATGAATGTGGACTGGGAGTAGGGGTCATTCGGGCATCGCCCCAGATGTTCTTCTTTCCATTCTTGCAGAAAGGTTTCCAGCCCCTCCTAGCTTCTGCTGGGGCCCTGGTGGCCAAGATGCCCACCCCTCTCTGGTCAGGGGTATCTTTGATTTTCCAGGAAAATTGTCTATCTCTGATCTAAAGAGATCAAACCTCTCCTTTGCGGTCCCCGCCAAGTGGGTGTGGGCCCCCTGGGAGTGGGGATGGGCTGACCCCGGCAGCCTTCCTTACTACATGCAATGACAAATGAAGGCAAGGAGAGTGGTTAGGACTGGCTACCGAGTGCGGGGCCAGCCCTGACCGGGTTCTCTCCGCTGGCGGTAAAGAGGGCACCTAGAGAGAGAAAGGATCCCTTCCCTCCATACTTCTATGAGAAGTATTTGTGCCACCATGCATGTCCAGAGCACCCCAACTTTAGAGATGAATATCCTTGAACAAAAGTAAACCCATGTCTGCATGGTTTGGGGCCAAGTGTTGATATTTGAAAGGGGTCCAAGCAGGACGTGAGGTGTCTGTGCGCCACACCAGCCACAGCCCAGCTGGGGGTTTAAGCAGTCCTCAACAGGACTGGAACTTCTCCGGGCGTCCTGGGAGAGCTGCGGGGTTGTGGAGGCCTTCTGTTTTCTGTTCTACCTTGTGGTCATGGTGACACCTTGTCACATTTACTTAATGCAGACACCCTCAACAGGTTCTGAAAATTTTTTCTCCCATCCACCAAAGTGAAGGGAGTGGATGGCTAGATGGCCATCCTGAACTCAAAAAGTTCTGGGAAACGGCAGCGAGACGAAATGACACGAGGCGCACCAAGTGACATTCTCATGCGGGTTTGCAAAACCGACAGCGAAGGAAGTGCAGCTGGCTCGGCGCGGTCAGGTCCAGAACCTTCCCTCACCTCGCTTCCAGAAAACTTAATCCCATTAGCTTTTCTTTGGCGTTTCCCTTGTTATGTAAAGGTTCCTTTCTTCCCGGCTAGCTGGGACCGGCGCTCCTTGAAGCAGTTCGATTCTGCTCCTTTAACGGCAGATCGTGCGCAAATCTAGGGCCCAACCACGAATATTATTGTTAGTAGTATTTCATTCCGAAAGGGCTGGCACAATCGATTAGCAGCAAGTGCTGAGGCGAACTCCGGAGCATCCCGGGCCAGAGAGGCTGGCGGGCCAGGCCTCCGTCCCCTATTCTTAAGAGGAAAATTCCCGCAACGTGCCTCGGGCCCAGCAGGACGGTTTTGCAGGGGCCGGGGCTCTAGTGTTGCGCCCTGGGGCCACTTCAGCGTGACCTGCGGCAACGGGCCCCTTTGTCCCGCGCACGGAGCCGGTAATATATTCCTCGAGTTTTCCCCCAAATACTCAGCAAGTGTGGGTCTAAGACAATGGCCCCGTCGGAGGAGGTTGGGGAGCCGCCGGCGCGCGCCTCTGGGCCCTGGGCTAGCCCGCCGCCGAGCGCCACAAAGCAGAGCCGCTTTCCCCGGAGCTCCGCGGCGCGGCCGAGCCCGGGGAGGCGGTGGGGTCCTCAGGCGCGCGCGTGGGGCCCGGGACGCGCCGTCTGGCCGGTGCGCTGGTGGCAGTGATATTGTTCCCGGCTCGCGCAGAAGTCCCGCACCGCGCAAAGCCTCGCGGATCCCGGGATGGCCAGCCGTCCCCACGCGGGCCGCTGCCGCGCCGACGTGTTGGTGGCCTGTGGGTCCAATCCCGGCGGTGCTGCCAGGCGAGCGCGCTCAGTTACTCAAGGTGCCTGGAGATTCGAGAACGAGAGGGGGGGAAAGTAGGTCGAATTTTAGGCCACAGAGAACTTGTGCAAAGTGGGCCGGAGCCAGGTTGGTCGCCTACGCAACAGAAGAATTGTTTCTTGTTAAACGGGATGGCGCCTTAGCGACGGGCACTGATGAGCCCGACCTAGAGACGTCTGCCTCTACCCGCTTTTCACCCGGAACTCCAAAATCCAGAGTCGCCAACGCACCCCTAGAGCCTGCTTTGAGGCCCCGGGACCACAACGGCGGGAAGGCACTCTGGTCTACAGGCTCCCGGCTCAAAACAAGGCCCGACCTGGCTCCGTGGGCCTGCAGGTGGGGACATTCAGTGGCTTTGGCGTGGGGCAACGGGACAGAGAGAGCCCGGGTGGGACGGGGTTCTAGGCCTCCTCCATCCTCTCCCAGGCACGGCCCTAGAAAAGGAGCCGCCTTCTCTGGCCCTGGGACACGGACTGCGGGCTTGGGAAACAAGGATCGGAGCTCTGAACTTGGCCCTCACGTCCAAACCGGACTATCTCGCCCTCCTTGGACCTGTGTGTGTGTCCCGTAAAGGAGGCGTGCTCGCCCCACCCTCGCCACCTGCCAAGTGCCGGCGTCTGGGTTTGGCACCAGGATCCAGTAAGAGCCGCGTGGTCCCCAGGTCCCCAAGCCGTGTGGCTGCAGCGCAAGGGAGCACGGCGTGCAGCCGGGGATCCCGGAGTCCGGCTGGCGATTTGGTGCAAGTGGCCCAGGACAGCGCGCTTTCCCACCCGGCCTGCAGGGCCTGGAGACCCGGAAAAGTTTGCTGTGGCCGCCGCGCGGCTAGGCCCTGGGATTTCCATAGCTGCGCGCGCCCCCCTCCCCAGCGCGTCGCCATGGAGACTGCTGGAAGTTGGTGGTGGAAAACAGACCCAGCGCAAAGCAAAATATTATGAGTGCAGTTGGGGTGACTTCAGGGGGGCAGGGGACCGGAGGGCATGAGCGGGAGCCAGAGGCAGAGGCCGACAACAAAAGGCCGAGTTCGCGGAGAGAGGAGTTCGCACGGGGCCTCCCTGCCGCTCTGTGAGAGCCGGACCGTCCTGCTTCCCAGAGGCCCCGAGGTCTCTAATTTCTCTCCAGCAGCTTCACCTTTTCTCATCCCGCTCGCGCCCCCACCCCGCCACCCCTCCTCCTCCGGGTTCTTGTCCGGCCTCCCTCCCCATCCCAAGGTTAGGCGCCAGCTGGGCAGTATGCCCGCCTCCCCCACGAGCCACAGGCTCTCCAACGTGAAAGGTTCTGGCATTTCTTCCCCAGGACCCGTGGGTCGCCCCAGATGAATTTCTCAGCCCCGCTTCTTAAACGGTATCTGAAACAGTGAGGGGTTAGAATAATGCGGGAAAGAGAAAAGAAGGAGGTGCCTGGTCAGAAATTTTGGAAGACGAGGACGGGTAGTAAGGAGAAGATTCTATGGATTGTTTTTACTCCTTGTGCAGTGGGGAAAGCTCCAGGTTATAATTCTGATTGAAGCACTTTGGGTAAGTCTTTGAGCCTTTCCAAGATTAATTTTAATTGTCTGTAAAATAAAGGGTTAGATAGCTCCCAGACTGGGATTCTCTGACAAGTTAGATGGATCCTTCTCCACCATGGAGGCCAGGTTACCACTATCCCAACTGTGATCCACTGCACAATTAGGGAATCTCTCCTCAAACTAATCATATACTAAAATAGTTTTTACAAGTCATTTAGGATTTTAAGAGTCAAGAACCTTGGATAACCCCTTTTTAAAGGCCTATGCTTGCCTTTGTCAGTTACACCTAAGGAGCATTCCTTAAGGCATTAGGTTTTATGGGGCTGTGCCCAGGTTTGATTTAAGAAACACTAAAATGCCTCTAGGTGATGAAGCCATCATCACAGACCCTCACCTATGCTGGATAAGAAGACATACTGGCCCATGTG